ATGAACCTTTGCAATCTGTGGAATGAAGCAAATAAACATGAAAACCCTTTGGATGTACCTAACAATCATGGCATCATATTTAACGGACGCTACCATAGAAAAAGGACGCTTCTTTATCTTCTGTGTTCGGCGGCAGTGTTGTCAGACGTTTAAATAATTTCAGAAAGCTCATCAAAATGGCGGTTATATTATTAAATCTTTAATACTTAATTAATTAGTATACCTATTTAACATAAATGTGGTGAGTAATTATTTTAAATTTATTTAATTTATTTATTAAAACTTAATAAAGTACGCTCGAAAGTTTAGTTATTTTGCTTATAACCGGCAACACTGAAGATTCTCAAATTCAGCGCGTGCGTACTAGTATACTACTATGAAATACAATAATAAACAAAAGGGACTTTTTTAAGTAATTTTTTATTGTATTGCAGACTGTCATAGTCATATTATTAACAGAAATAATATCTAGGTAAAGTGAACATTTCAAAATTAAAAATTTCGTAGCTCTTGGCAAAAAATCAATTTACCGTAAAGTTGTTTTTTTGACATATATGCCAGTTCTCAATTAAACCATCACAAAATCCCACATGTATACATACAAGTATATATACAAGATATCCATATCAGTTATCCACTGGATACCCAGTGGATATCCAGTGGATATACATTAGATGTACAGTGGATATACTTTAGACATACATTAGTTATCCATTGGATATATATTAGAGATACTTTGTTGAAATTGGTTTAATAACGATTTAAATCATATTTATTAATCATTACATAAATTTATCCTATAAGGGGCTATTTTAAAAAAGAAAAAAATATTTTTAATGTTTTTGTTTTTTTTTGAACATCCAGTATGGATATCCATTGGATATCCAATGGATATCGTAAAAGGCATGGATGTTATATGGACATTGGGATAGCCATTGGATATCCATTGGATAGCGTGTTCTGTGTAGGGATCCCTACCCTTCCTAAAATATAATTAACGTTTTTCTTTAACCTTTTCTCTATAGCGCCTTGCCCATTTCTAAAAAAATAAAAGTTTACTTATTATGCGTAACGTACCTGACTATTATAATATAATAGTCAGGTACGTTAAGCATAAATCAGCTGCGTCACAAAAGAGATGTGACGCACCTGACTATGACGCAGCTGACGTTTTGATATAAACCCTAGACCCTAGGATATAAACCCTAGACCCTAGGATATAAACTCACTAGTTGTCACTCTGTTTACTTTATATTTCGGTCGCAATTTAAGCATAACCTCTAATTTTGCATATTATAACATGTTTATTTATTGTTTATAAAAAAAATAAACGATCGTGATATACCTGACATGTAATAAGCATACGTACCAGCAATCTGTACTTTGATTGGATTTATTTTCTTATCAATAGAAAAACTATGGAATCTGGCACGGCACATTAAACGAACAAATAACAATGAAGTTTCTCTAAAATCGTTTATGCGAACACAATGTGTTTAACACATAGCGCCATCCAGTGTTCCCAACCTTTCAGAGTAATAATTCCCTTGTTGCATGGCAAAAATTCCCTTTTTCGTGCCAAAATTCCCTGCTTTCAATGTTGCCAAGAAAAATGACTTCATATCAAAAATACAATTTTTAAAATAAATTTTATTATGTTTGTAACAAAAAAAAATGATTTAAAAATAAAATAAAAAACAAACGTCAAAACAACATCTGATGCGTATACTGCAAAAGCGGCTTAACTGAAAAAATAATCATTTTGTGGTTTTATCTTAAAATATTCCTATTATGCGCTTATCGAGTGAGATAGCCTAATAAAGTGTATACACTATATATATTTTAATATATATATATATATATATATATATTTTAATATACAGAGTAGTAACCACTCTTCATATTAATACACACTGTAAATTTATTAGGCCAGCTCACTCGATAAGCGCATTATAGGAATATTTCGAGGTAAAAACACAAAATGTTTTTTTTCAGTTGGGCCGCTTTTAAAATTGCAGTATACACCTCATCTAACAAATAAATTATTAAAATATAAAGGTAAACATGAAATAAAATTGATTTAATTGAATTAAAACCACAAAACACCTTCTAGTTTTGTGATTAAAACTCGCAGTTGACATATAGTTAGTTCTTCTTCTTCTTCTAGCCACAACATTTGGGCTGCGGTGTCAAAATTCTTTTTATTTTGGGCCAATTTATTAAAAGTTACCAAAAAAAGTGTAATCTATAACGTGGGTTTTTAATAATAAATATAAAAAATTCCCTAATTTTAACAATTTTTACTAAAAAATACCCTTTTCCCTTTTTGGTACCAAAATTCCCTAAAAAGGGAAAATTCCCTAAAAGGGAAAATTCCCTAAAAAGGGAAAATTCCCTAAAAAGGGAAAATTCCCTGCAGTTGAGAACACTGGCGCCATCTTTGATTTTGATATAAAAATAGTGAATGTGACGTACCGGACGATTTAAGCTGGGGACACAGATTTTTTTTAAATTTTACCAGAAATATAATATAATTTTAATGTTCTGTTTTATAATTTGATTACACAAGCTACAGTTTTATTTAAAGGAAGAAAAAAATGTCCTACATGTAGGACATGCATGTTTGGTATTTTAATAATAAAATGGTCTCCAATTGGGACCGTGACGATCGTTCGAACACTGACTTTTTACCGTTTTAATAAACAAATCAATACTATATTAGGTATATTAAATTTGAAAGATTTAAATTATAGTACTTTAGGCTTTTTGTAAAAAAAATTATTTCGGAAAAAACGCGGTTATTAAGGACATCGAATGGCAACTTTAAATGAAACTGACCCCCAAAACTCAGCTTTTTGACGATTTTTATTTTATTTTTTTCTTTTATTTTGTAATATGTTTATTCTTTAATGAAAACCTAAGAAATTACTCAAAAAATTTCAATCATATATGATAGAAGTGTATACACTTTAAAGTGCATGATTGAAATTTTTTGAGATTTTTACGTACTTTTTTCACCGAAAACATAAATTCTTTTGTTTCTCGTGTTGGCATACTGACATTTTACTGCTATTTTTTGATATTTCAACAAGGTATTTTTATCATGGTTTTATTTAGTTAATAAAAAGTGTAAAATGAGTAAAGGGAGTTCGAGTGCGTAAATAACCCGGACAATCTAGGTGACGTAAGTGATGAGCACGGAGAACGTTTTCACCAGCAAATGAACTTCATTCGCCGCTCCATAGCCTTCATTTAATGAAGGCTATGGAGCGGCGGTATCACGGCTTCTGGGATGCAGCCATGATGGGTGATTACATTTGGTCCCTCATACGAGAAACGGAATACGAAAGCAACAAAAAACAAAGAAGGAGCCAGAATTTTTTTATCCTATGCTTAATAAAACAAAATAAAAGTTTCAATATCTTCAATGTTCAATATTTATTGTTCAATATTCAATATATAATATTCAATATATAATTTAGTTTCAATATTTAATGTTTTAAATAAAAATAATGTTCAATATTAAATTTTAATAAGTCAATAAAATGAAGAATAAACGTAAACATTCTCAAAAAACTGAATTTTGCTCTTCCACTGAAAAATTCATAACTTCGCCATTTATCCATGGATTTTTATCAACAGCAGCTTATTTTTTTCCTGTAAGTATAATCTATATCTATAGTTGAAAAAGGCCTTTTTTACAAAAATCGAGGTCAAAAATTTTATTTTACGTAGGTACTTAAAGGCCTTTTTCAACTCAACATAAAATCGCCAGTATCGAACTACTGAGCCGATACCAAAACTATATACCTAAAAGATAGTTGTAGAGGGCTCAATTACCTTTGATTTAAGTGCTTTTTTGGTGAAATCGATCATTTAGAACTCCAAGTATACTCTAAAACGTCAAAACACATCAGAAAATTAAAAAAAAAACAATTGAAAATTCATATCTCGAAAACGCTTCCATGAAAAAAAATTAAGTGTGTTTTTTTGCGTTTTTTGAGCCAAACTACACAAGAAAATCATAGTGAGACATAAGGCGTTTTTTCACGTAATTACCACGAAATACTATAGTTAAAAAAGTTATGACGTCACGGTTAATTCGTTTAACCACCGGTTATTGATTGTAATTTCAAATGTAACTTTTGATGTTTATAAAATTTATAACCTAGATTCTAGGTCCTAGAATTTCCACCTTGGAAATTTTGATTAAAATCCATGACGTAACACTTGTAGCCAATCACGCCTAATATAAAAAAGTGTGGTTACCTGTTTAAATATTTTTTGACATTAAAACAACATTTTTGACAGATTAAAATAAATAAATATACACATTAGAAAGAGATAGACTATTAACCAGATTGAATAACCAGCTTGCCGAGGTAGTAAATGTGACGTCATAGTTAAGATTTTGGAACGCACTCTAAACGCGAAAATACATTAACTCACAATCCAATGGATTGTGCATTAACTATTAACCAAGGTTAAGTTTAATAACCATCGTATTTCATAGTATTTACGCGAAAAAATGCCTATAGTGGGCAAAATGGCTGTAAACCAGTGCTGCCAACCAGTCGAAATTAAAAGCCGCGCGCATGATCGAAAATTGCCGTGTTTTTACGAACTATGGCCGTGTCAAATTTGAAATTCATTCATTGGAATAAAAAAAATTAACTGCATAAAACATGTATTTTTATTTATGAAAAAAGTAAGTCACGCACTTAATTTACAATTGTAAAAATAAATAAATAACATAAAGCGGGAAATCCCCGTGGCTATAACCAGAGTTGCCAATTGTCTAAGCAGAAAAAATTAGGCTCAGTCAGGTCTTGGATGTACACTTTGAGAAGATTATCAACTTCAGTAAAACTAAATAGTGTTTTTATTTAAAAATTAATTATTTTATAACAGACATGGTGAAATATGAATTTAATATTTTAACGAAAAAGCCGTGTTTGTAAACTAGTCTATTTTATTATTAGTAGTTCAAACGTCCCTGCATGTGCTTTAAGTTTAGTAAGGTTATGTGTACTCTGCTTTTAGGTTAAAAAGAGCAATATTTTTAAAATCAAACATGTCCCTTTCACAAAAATACTCTGGTAAAGTGCTAGTACCTTGGTTTAACAGGTATGTTTGTTTTAAAACAAAAAACTTATTATTTTAATTAATAATGTTTGTATATAGTGCAGAATGGCATTATGTTTACTCCCTGGTAAATTCAAATAAAAAAGAAAACTTAGTTGAAGCTTTACAACTTTTACACATATGGAAGATACGAACTCCACTACTTTCAGCGGGTATAGAAGGAACTTTAATTTTATTAGATGCCTTGGGGACAGATTTGGAGCAATTAACAGAGGAACAAATTAAACAAATTTATGCTTTATCACTTATGAGGTTAGTATCTAATAAATCTATTGCTGGAACTAAATTAGTAATGTTTTGTCGTTAAGATGCCCACAGCGTTGCCAGTGCTTTTGTACTAAAATCAGTACTTTCTAAGGTCTGTCAGTACGTCAGTGCTACTTTCATAGTTTCAGTCTGTGGTTTCAGTACATTTTGCAAAATTTCCTTTCCCATCAAAAAAGTTAAAACCTAAAGAAACATACATGGTATAGTAGAGAAAAAAAACTTTTTTTAATGAATTCTTAAATCTCAAACAAAATTTAACACGTTCACTACCGGCGACCACTATAGTGGCCAATCGGTTGGCTCACCATGAACCGCGGCCACTATACTGGCCTCAAATTTAATCTTACTTAGGTGCAATATAAATTTAGCTGGGTCACAAGTGGTGACTTGTATGTTGTCTTCGGTCTATAACGCGCGCACGGCCAGTTAAGTGGCCTCTGGTTCACTTCTGTGGCTTTATTTACAGTGACTCAGGTTTATTTCCTAGGCCAGTTTATGGGTTCAAAAGATGTCGAAGTTGGTTTATTACAAGCGACCAGCTGTAACACGGCAGTAGTGAACGTGTTAATGATTCCTGCAAGGTATAACATCTTAAAAATTAACGTAGATTGAAATAATCTTGTCCATTGGTGTATAAAGGCCTATATTACACTGCAACGTTTTGGCCATGTGCTTTAAAGACAAATTGTTAATATAATGTACTGTCTGTCCAATCTAAGTTGGCGGAACTAAGGAATTTTGTAGTTTAGATATTAAAGAATTGTCGTACTGTGTGCTTTTAAAACAGATTTTATATTATAAATAATACTAGTACATATTATATCCTAGTATTATTTATAATATAAAATCTGTTTTAAAAGCACACAGTACGACAATTCTTTAATATCTAAACAACAAAATTCCTTAGTTCAGCCAACTTAGAGTGGACAGACAGTAGGTACAATCTCAATTAATTTTTTATTAACATGTCAAAATGTAGCCGTTAAAGTGGTATGTGCAGTGCACCAACCACTTAAACAGCTAGATTTTGACAAATATAGTCATTTGAGCCTACACCTTAGAGGGATTTAAATGCTGGAACATATATTGGTACATTTTAAATTACTTGACTGCCAAGTTTGTTGAGTACAAATAGGTACTAACATTAAATAGGTACCTACAATTGTAGTGTTTATCAATATCCCCAATGCTATGAACAATATAATCAAAATTTTATATTTTTTTCAAAAACAGTACCTTTTCATTAAAATCAGTACGTTTTTTTACTTCCAATCAGTACAGAATTTGTTCGTGGTCTGGTAACGCTGGATGCCCAACAATGTTGGCAATCTACAATTATAAATAGTTTTACTAACAAAATGGTCTTATATACAGATGTCTTACATACACAATATACATATTACATTTAACTTACCAAATGTCCCTCCCATCAACTATGGAATGTATTATGTGCATGATCCCTAACATTGTAGCATGGTAAATGTCTTTAAAATTTATATACACTTTATATGCAGGGTGAGAATGTTTAAAATAAAAATTAAATGATTCGAGGGGGGAAATACATTAGTACCAATCCTTATAGGAAGGGCAAAAATTCCAATGGAACACCCTATTTTTTATTGCAGATTCGGATCATTCGACTAAAAATGGGTAGATTTTGTCTAAAACATTTTTTCTGTGTCTCATTTGGTTTTTCACTTTTTGAATTTAAAATTAAAAAAAAACAATCGATCAATTTTAACAAATTTTTTATTAAATTAAAGAAAAAACTTGGGAAATTTATTTCGTTTTAATATTGTGTTTTTTAATTATATTGTCCAAATGTTGCCCATTTTTTTCCTGGCACTCTTGAAGTCGAGCTCTAAAACTTGCAATCACGCTCCGAAAAGTTTGCTCACTTATGGCTTTCATTTCTGCCCGAATATTGTGCTTCAAGTCCTCCAAATTGGCAGGGTGGTTACGATAAACTTGACTTTTAAGATAGGTATCCCCATAAAAAGAAGTCGCATGGAGTCAAATCCGGGCTTCTGGGGGGCCAATTTATGTCACCTCTTCAGGAAATCAGTTTTTCAGGAAAAAACGCCTGAACAACGGGCAAAGACCGATTTGAAGTGTGACTTGTGGCTCCGTCTTGTTAAAACCAGCTTTCTTGGTCAAATCCTTCAAATTCTTGAAGAGCAGGTGTCAAAAAAACACGTATCATGTCGACATAACGCCTGCGAACCGACAAGTTTGGTTTCTGCCTCACCATCTCAATGTTTTCAGGGCTTCTTATTGTTCTTAAACGGTTAGTTATGCGTTTATTTGACGTTGAACCAGTCTCTTAAAACTGACGAACCCATGCCCTAATTAAATTAATGCCTGGGCATTGTTAAATGTCGTGTTAATTGTAATGGCGTCTAAACAAACGTCGAACGAGAGTGCAATAATTGTTATTTTTATAAAACTCGCGCACACAAAAAGCGCGTTGTTCTCCTGTGTAACGCTGCATGTTGACTAAATTTCCCAATACCAAGCGTTTGTTTACGACTAACCCCACTCTTCCAACCCACCTAACAACTTTTTTACAGGGCCACAAAAAGTTAAAAACCAACTGAGACACCCTGTACAATATTTTATTTAATCAAGAATCAGTTTTACATTTAAAACTCGTGTAATTTTTTTTATTCTTATTTTGTTTGTTATTTTTGTTGTCCTTGTGTTGAGACTAAAGATAATCCGGCTCCAAGGCGCAATTGCCTACTTTTTTTCCTAGGGTGCCTAAAAACTAAATAACCTTTAGAAATAACTAAAATAAATTTTATTTAGTTTAAAGATTAATTTGCAAACAAAAAGACCTGTTTTCATTGAGCACTGCTTAATGAACAGTTTGGTATTCATAATGGATTTTTTAGCAGTGGAAGAAAAAACAGAAATGGTTTTGATTTATGGAGAAGCAGACAGAAATCTTGATGATGCTGTTAATATCTACGCTTAGCGTTTTCCGGAAAAAAATCGATTGTGTGCTTCATTTCAAGGTAGTCAAGCAGTTTACTACAAAACGAAATGTTGAACCGAAAAAAATAGTTCGTCGAGCAACAGTCTAGGGTGAAAATAATGATATTAATGTATTAGCAGCCGTTGCTGCTAATCCTCATGCAAGCACACGAGAATTATCTCGCTATTCCGGAATATCCCATATCATTGTTATCACAATATTAAAACGAAATAAATACCATTCTTGTCATATTTCGTTACATCAGGAGCTCATAGTTTGGATTTTCAAAATAGGGTAATTTTTTGTTCGTGGACACGTGAACAAATACAACAAAATTCAAATTTTTTCAATTTTGTATTTTTCTCCGACGACTTGTCTTTTACGAACCACGGAACGGTAAATCGTGTTAAGTGAAAATGGATTGTCAACGTGGGGGAATTTAAATGACGAAATGTACCTAGATATTTTGGAAAATAAACTGCCCACATTACTTGAAGACTGAGCTGAAAATATGATTAAGCAAATTAGAAATCAGGGATCGAAAATATGATATTTATATAAATATCCGATATATATCCATAATAAATATCCAATTAAATCTAGTGATATATATTTGCAAACCCCAAGGTATATCTGCGAACCCTGTTGGAAATGCTTGTGCCAAAATTCCAGCAGATACGCTACTTACTTGTGTAGACTCATTTAAAATCCGAGTGCATTTAAGTTGAAGGCCACCATGTTGAGCACCTACTTTAATAAAAATTTGAAAACAAAAATTGTTTTGAGCTAAATTTATATTATTAATAATAACAAAAGTATTTTATAGAAAAATTATTACAGAATCGTATACAGGAGAAAAATCGAACAAAATTTATTTTTTTACAGCGCCATTTATTTTTAGTCGAATGATCCGAATCTGCAATAAAAATAGGGTGTTCCATGCCCTTCCCTAGATGAGAGTATAGAAAATAATTTTTATTTTAATTTTTTTTTGTAAAATATCTACTATTTACTGAAATATTTTAAAGTTTCAAGTTAAAAGACTTACTCTGTATATATATTAGGGTGTTTCATTTAAAACGAAAAATTCTTTTTTCTTGCTGACACATGAACATTTTGTTTTTTAGGTTGAAAAAAAAATTCCCTGAAAATTTTAGCCCTTAAATTTGATTTTAAGAACTTCCTTTTTATTTTGAAGTTTTTCCATATAAAAAGCATGTATTTTTAATCATTTTTACTTTAAATTTCTATATTTTGGCCGGGTTTTGAATTATAATTTTTATCACCATAATTTCCTGCATAGTATTTACGGTTTTTGAAAGGCCCTGCATCAATTTTGTTTTTGATTTATTTACGTTGATTGTAGTAGCTCCAAAAGTCGTTTTTTTCACTTTTTCTCACATATTTTTGAGAAAATCGAGCGAATGACTGGTTTTACCGAAAAAGTTCAAATGAAAAGGTTGTAGGAAATTTAATTTTTGACAAAAAAAGTTCTTACGTTCATATCACTAAAGTGCTTTGTTTAAGAGATATAAGGTATAAAATTTAATGTATGTATATTATATTATACATAAATTTCAATAAAACCAATTTTTTCTTTGTTTTTGGTTATTGAATTGCTTATATCTATTAAACAAAGCACTTTAGTGATATGAACGTAAGAATCTTATTTGTCAAAAATTAAATTTCCTACAACTTTTTCATTTGAACTTTTTCGGTAAAACCAGTCATTCGCTCGATTTTCTCAAAAATATGTGAGAAAAAGTGAAAAAACGACTTTTGGAGCTACTACAATCAACGTAAATAAATCAAAAACAAAATTGATGCAGGGCCTTCCAAAAACCGTGAATACTATGCAGAAAATTATGGTGATAAAAATTATAATTCAAAACCCGGCCAAAATATAGAAATTTAAAGTAAAAATGATTAAAAATACATGCTTTTTATATGGAAAAACTACAAAATTAAAAAGGAAGTACTTAGAATCAAAATTAAGGGCTCATATTTT